ATTTCTTGTTCTTCCTAAATAAGCTAAAAAGCTCCAGAATTTTTATGCTTTTCCTTGAGCTACTTTGATTCATTGAAATAATTCATGTCCCATTTGTATTAATTATCCTTCATTAGAAAATTCTTTTGTAATCACTTTATGTAGAAATACTGATTTTGCTTTTCAAGAAGGTCTTTTGTAGGGAGGGAGAAATGGGGAGTTGCTGTTCAATGGGTATAGAGTTTCAGTCATGCAAGATGAAAAAGTTCTAGAGATCTGCTGTTCAACAATAGCATATAGTTAACAGTATTGTACTGTACACTTAACATTTTGTTGCGAGGCTATAGTTCATGTTATGTGTTGTTCTACCACAATTTTTAAAAAAAGTGTTGAGTAGAAAGCAAGTTTATCTTCAGTTTTTATTTTATATTTGTGAGTTTTATTTTATTTTATTTATTTTTTTAATTTTATTTATTTATTTTTTCCCCCAAAGCCCCAGCAGATAGCTGTAGGTCATAGCTGCACATCCTTCTAGTTGCTGTATGTGGGACACGGCCTCAGCATGGCCAGAGAAGTGGTGCGTCGGTGCGCGCCCAGGATTGAACCCGGGCCACCAGCAGCGGAGCGTGCGTACTTAACCGCTAAGCCACGAGGCCGGCCCTGTGATTTTTATTTTAAAAAATGAGTTAAGATTTTTAAAACTTTAGAATGTTTTAAAATAAGTAATGTTCTCTGCCAATTCTTCCATTAATATTTCACTTTAAGTTATATTGTATCTTTTTAAAAATTATTTTTTATATGTCAGTGTTTCAGTGCTAAAAATCTACGGCTGCTATTCAGAGGTAATTATTCATAAAGCCTTTAGGTTTTTAAAAGTGGTTGTTCAAAAAATTAAAATTCTGTAGAGACTAAACAAAACATTTCTCCTTGGATTTATATTTGCAACTTCTTCCCTAGACTATAAGTTCTGTAACAACTGCCTCATCAGTTAATAAGTTGATATGGCTGCCTTAACAGAGGCTAAATAATAGTGGCTTAAACAAGGTATAGAAGCTTATTTCCCTTCTACAGAAAGTCGGAGTTGGCAGGCGATTTGGGGACGAGGGGGTGTAGGGCAGCTGTGCTCCATGGGGTCATCCAGGGACCCAGGTGCATTCTTTCTTGTTGTTCTTCCGTCCTGTAGGATGTTTCCTTTTGCACATGGTTGCAGATAGCATGGGGAAGTAGAGGGCAGGCAGCTGCCTGTTAATGTAGGAGTCAAACTTTTTCTGTAAAGGGTCAGGCAGTGAATCTTTTAGGCTTTGCAGGCCACATAAAGTCTCTGTTGCATATTCTTTTTTTTTCTTTCTGTTTTTAACAACCCTTTAAAAACTGTTCAACTTGTAAGATAGATAACTGTTCTTATCTCACAAGCGTTATAAAAAGGCTGTGGGCAGGGTTTGTCACACAGGTCATTAGTTTGCCAACCCCTGTGTTAAGGATGTGATGCAGAAATTGCACACTTCCTCATCTGTAAAATAGGGTTAATAATAATATCTATTTCAAAAGGTTGTTATGAGGATTAAAATGAGATAATAGAGTCAAATAGTGCCTGGCACAAAGTTAAGTGCTTAGAAATGTTAACTGTTTTTATTATTGTAATAATTGATATTTAACTTCATCTGTGAAAGAGAATTAGCACATTTTTCTTTTGCCTCCTGATTTGTGACATGATTTATGGCATTTATATCTATAATTGCCGCAGTAGTTTAGTGTTAGCGCTGTGTTTAAATCAATACCCTAGTCCTTTTATCATGGTTTCGATTTCTCTGAATTCTTTATTTTGATTTATCTCTGTTGGCTAGATTTCATTATCTAGTGGTTTAAAAAAAAGATATTGTATTCCAAGTTTCTGCATGCTTGAAAATGTCTGAACATTGACTTTGTATCTAAAGGATAACTTAGCAGGGTATAAGATTATTGGGTCATCTTTTTTCCCCACAGGATTCTTCAGAATAATGTGTCTGTGTTGAGGTCTCAAGTCAGTTTGCTTATCCCCCCTTATATGTGACTGACTTTTTCTGCCTGGAGATCCAATCCAGGCAGATTCTTTTTTTATTGTTAATATCTGGGAGATTGATTGTGAGCTTTTTCCTATGTTATGTACCCTTTTAGAATGCAGATTCGGACTTTTTTTGTTTTAAATTTCAGAAACATTTTCTTGCGTCATGTCTTAGAATATTGTTTCTGTTGTGTTTGTTCCCATCTTCAGGAATTCCACTATGTGTATCAAATCTCTTATTTGCTTTCTCCATTTATGTATTTTATTAATGGATTTTTGTTAGTATGTTTTCCTCTAACCTGTCTACAGTGTTCCTTTCTAGGTTTTCACCTATTTTATTTTTTGCTGCCTTTAATTGATTTGAATTTGTAGTATTTCTTGTTTTTTCTTCTGTTTCTTTCTGATGCTTTGCTAGCTTGTTTTTCATCTTCTCTCTCGTCTCATAATCTCTCACTTGAGCTCTTTCTTGAGAAAACTCATGTCTGTGATATTGATGCGGAAATATTTGTCTTTCTCTCTTCCTCTTTCTTTGTTTAGTTTCTTTTGTGATGTGTTTTTTCCCCCTGCCTTTTGCTTATTGTTCTCTTTCTCCTTTTGGTGCCTTTCCCCCAACCCCCATCTGTATAGAGGTCCTGTGCTGACCCTTCCATTACTGAATGGGTCCATAGTGAGGGGAGGCAGGGCGGCCGAGGACGTCCACAGCTTTGATTGGGGCCTGTTGTCTCAGATGCCCTGTCACCTGTGCCCTGGGAGCACATCCATGTGTTGGTGTTCAAGGGGCCGTTGTGACTCCCTGCAAAGCCTTTGTAGTCAGTGTTAATAGTGCTCCCTCTTACCCCTGTTTCCCCTCCAGTCTGCCAGAGCTAAGAGGGTGCTGGTGGACAGCAGAAAGGGCCCTTCAGAAGGTGGCCTCTCTGCCGTGCTGAACTGCTGTCTCCAGGCTTGCCCGGCTTCTGTTGGCCTGCGCAGCTCCCCCACACCCCCAGGCCTTTCACTTCTGTGACAGCGACCTTCAGGGGTTTCTTTGTCCCGCTGTGTCTGAGCAGACATGTGTCAGTTCCTAGCTGCTGCTTTGTTTCGGTCCAGCTCTCACAGGATTACAGCTGCTTTATGGTTTGTAGACGGGATTTGTAGCATCCCCTTGTTTTAGGTGTAATAAGATTTTCCACTTTTTATTAGCTGTTGTTTTTGGTGAGTTTTGAATAAGGAAAGAAAAAAGAAACCTCACTGGTGGATTTAAATTTCTTTTATGCTTGGGGCCGGCCCTGTGGCATAGCGATTAAGTACGCGCACTCCACTGCTGGCGGCCTGGGTTCGGATCCTGGGCGCACACTGATGCACCGCCTGTCAGGCCATGCTGTGGTGGCGTCCCATATAAAGTGGAGGAAGATGGGCATGGATGTTAGCCCAGGGCCAGTCTTCCTCAGCAAAAAGAGGAGGATTGGCATGGATGTTAGCTCGGGGCTGATCTTCCTCACCAAAAAAAAAAAAAAAAAAAAAAATTCTTTTATGCTTTACGTTTTATTTTGAAAAAATTTAAAAGATACGGTACCACACCTATAATTGACCATTTCATTTTGTCACATTTCTTTCAAGTCTTTTTTCTCTTATAAAAGTAATCAAGTGTAACAGGTACAGCTGAGATTCCCTTTGATCCTCACCCCCAGTTGCACCCCTCATCTCCACCCTTGGGACCCCAAGGCAGTCATTAGCCTTGCAGTCTCTTTTTATAGTTTAAAATACAAATACAGATTTCTGTACACAATATATAACATTGTTTATATGTTTAGAATGTTTAGCCAGATGGTATCATACTATTTTATTGTTCTGTAATTTGTGTTTTTCCACTTAACATTGTTTATGAAATCTGTTTTGATACACACACACACACACGCACACACACTTTTTGACGTTTCTCTTCCCTGTTGCCTATTATTTCATGATATGAATACATCGCATTCATTTGTTCTTGGCGGACATTATTAAGGATAGCATGTCACTGGACGTCCTTGTACAGTTCTTTTAGGCTTATGTGTGTGAGTTTCTCAAGAAGTAAATGTGCAAGGTTGTAGGATATATGCTTTTTCATTACTGCTAGATACTAACTAGTTAGTACTGCCAGTCCTGACTGTGCATTGAAGCGATGGCACCCATTTACCCTCACCAGCAGCGAGTGACAGTTCCCCACGTGTACGTCAGGGGGATGCCCTTTCTAATATTTGCTGTTTCTTGAACAATCCTATAACGAAGGCAACGTTATATAATGATGATAACCTGATGGATTAGATTTTCGGAATTGGTTGTGAATTTAGGTGAAATTAGGAGTAAAAGGTGATAAATCATGTAACCGGGAGCCCTACCAAATGGAGTTAGAGCACTCTGCGTCTGAGATGTGATTACATTCTACTGGTTGTCTTTGCCACTTTTTTTCGGAGTATCATTAGAGCCAAAAATAAAGTTTTAAAGGTGCTAGGGTCTTTTCTGGGGTGGGGGGGGGTTAGGGAAGATATGATAAAGTGTATTATTGTTTCTGATAAAAGTGCTGCCGTCTTTTGTACCTGTGTGCCATTTTTGCTTGGAGTGAATTTATTTCTGGAACTCTTTTCCCAGCTGTTTACCTGAAAATCATTAAATGTGTTGCAAGTGAACTATGAGATGATTAGATGCTAATGTGATAATGAAAGTATGAATTCTCTCTTACCTCAGAAATGGGTACATTTGGTTTAATACATTAAATTGTTAATGCATGACTCTCTGTGCTTTTGAATTGTCTGCTTCAAAAGTACGTTTCATCCATATGGGGTATTTACGTTGAGGAGATGAATTCACTAACATTTGGTCAGCATATCAGTATTCAGGTCCACTCTGTCTGTCTCTCTCTCTCTCTCCCTCTCTTTCCTTTTTGGTGAAATGGTTTTTTTGCTTCTTTATTCCTTTAAAAAAGTCACAGTTCATTATATATGCAATCTTCACCTTTCAGAAAAGCAAGAGGAAAGGGCACGAATATACAAATATTAAGTATTCCCTAACGGACCAGACAAGTGGAGATCAGAGTCCTCTCCCGCCTTGTACCCCAACGCCATCCTGTGCAGAGTAAGTAGTAATGAAGGAAATTCTTTTTACCCGAATATTATCCTGTAGAAAAGCTGAAAAACAACAAGTCTTTGCAGTGCACACCTTTCACTGGTGCACATTATTGTTGCCCAACCGGTTAGTGAGTGTATCAGTGGCTATCTAAACTCAATTTTAATTTACCTAAACTGAAGGCTGATTGCTCCACCAGCTGGGATTATATGGGATTATAAGTACGTCAGGTGGTGTTCTCTAAGAAGAATCTAATTGTTCTTTTGATGGGATGGGGATTGTTGCAGAGGTAGGTAACATCCTTTTTTTTTGATGTGTTAAGACTTTTTGCTAAGTAAAAGTAAATAAATTGAGGGGCTAGCCCCGTGGTGTAGTGGTTAAGTTCGGCACACTCCGCTTCAGTGGCCTGGGTTCATGGGTTCGGATCACAGGCGTGGACCTACACCATTCGTGAGCCGTGCTGTGGCGGCAACCCACGTACAAAATAGTGGAAGACTGGCATAGATGTTAGCTCAGGGCTAATCTTCCTCAAGCAAAAAAAAAAAAAAAGAGGAGGATTGGCAACAGATGTTAGCTCAGGGTGAATCTTCCTCAGCAAAAATAAATAAATACATAAATAAATAAATTGACCATTAGTGTGTCAACATAATCATGATCTGATAATTTTCCACAGTCAACAGAAATCTACTTCAGGTGTTTAAACCAGGAGTCAGCAAACTACAGTCCCCAGGCCAAATCCTGGCCACGGCCTGTTTTTGTACAGCTCATAAATGGTTTTCAATGGGTCATTAAACAAACCCACAAAGAGTAATATATGCAACAGAGATTGCGTATGGCCTGCAGAGACTAAATTATTTACCCTCTGGTCCTTTATAGAAAAACTTTGCCAACTTCTTGTTTAAACTAAAATGTGATAGGAAAACATTTGATAAATTGATTATGTGAATAGCAGTTGTAAGTTATTATTTTTCTATATATTCTAAAGTCAGTCTCTGGTATAACATTTACTTTTTATTTTCCCGTAAGAGTCTTATCTCTGTTTGCTTCTGATGATTTTTAGACCCCTGCTGACTGTAATCCTCTCTATAAATGTTTTAGATAGCATATGTGAGGTTTGTATTTACATTTGCTTTCTATTTAACATTGAAGTGAAATTATATAGTGTAAGTATTCTCCCCACCAAACTACCTGTTCCTTCTGCCTGCTTTTTTCTTTCCCAGTGGACTGCTAGGGAAAGTTGATATTTTAAATTGCTGTCTGCAGTAATTTGCAGTGGAACTAGCATGTCAGGCCTCTGAGTCCTTGCCAGAAAGCTTTCCCCACGTGTTGGCACAGCAGAATCAGCTCTGACGACTGCCTTATTACCAGTGGCCTGCCTGTGATGGACAGGTTCTTGGCCTCTCCATTCCCGTCGTCCCGCTTGTAGGGTGCAGACCTAGGATACCCGGACCCCGAGCCCGTCTGCTTGTTTCAGCTTGCCCCTCAGGCTGGTGCCCACAGCTCCTGGGCTCCTCGTCCCCCCGAACTGCTCTGATCTCCACTCCCTGATCAGCAGAACGGAGTCTGGCCTCTGACGCATTGGCCCTCCGCCCCGGGGCCCTAAACCACCCTTCAGCTTCATGCTTACTGTTCCCCTTCATGTAGCTAGTTCAGGCTAAATGCACCTACGGTTCCTGCCTGACTGCTCCTACACTCACCCTTCTTGAGCTTTTGCCTATTCAGACCCCTCTGCTCGAAATGAATACTGTTCCTTTCTACATGCCCATGTCCCACCTTCTTCAAGGTCTAACTCAAATCCCTCATCATACAGGTCTCCCTTGCTCTGCCTGCCTGGAAAACAGCCCGCTTTCCCCCACACCCCAGAGCACAGGGACTTGAGGCCCCATTTCACTTGTAACTTCACAATTCTATTACATTTACGTCTTATATCCCTTTCTAGAATGCCAGCTCCTGGGGGGCAGGAACTATGTCTGCACCGTATCTGGTCCCCGGAGCATGTAGCATGTACCTCATAAATATCATGGAAGCTTAAACAGCAGGGTCTGCATTTTGTTCATGCCTTCTTTTCAGAATGAGAGAAGATAATGCTAGAGTCTATGAAAACGTCGGGCTGATGCAGCAGCAGAAAAGTTTCAGATGAGAAGACCCACCAAGACTTCAGCACAGAAATAGGTATTTAAATAGAAGTGCTGTATCAGTTCATTGTTTATAACATTTGTGGCATTTTTAAGCAGGCAAATAATTCATGAGACTTTTAGCAAAGTGTACCGTAATTGAGTTTTACAAACCAGCCTCCTTTTTGCTGACTTTGTATTTCTTTTTCCAAGCTGGATTTGTTGTAGAGTTTAAGCATTAAAACCAAATGCAGAATTAATTCTGTGGGGGCAAGGTTAGCACTTACTATAGAGACATGGTTGATATCACTGTTCTTGCAATTTTTATTAGAGTTGGTTAACCAAGTTGTGCTGGGAGATGCTCTTTAGGGATCTGGGAAGCATGGGGACCCAGCACTGGATGGTTGGAGTCAGGATGCCCCAGTTGGCCTCTGACTAGCTGTGTGACACAGGGCACTGGACTTCCCAAGTCTCCGACTTGCTCAACTCCACGTTCCTTCCAGCTCTGTTACTGGGAATTCACCTCCCTCGTATGTCTCCTCCCCGTCAGTCATCTTTTTAGAGGTGACCCAAGTGTGTGATGTGTGTTTAAAAGATAAATCAGAAACTCATAGTTTAAGCATTTCATGTTGAACTTCCCATTTCAATGGGTAGTATATTTAAAAGCTTTAAGTCTATTTTAAAATGGTTGACTGCCTTGCCAAACTTTTAGATGTATGCTCCTAAAAAATTCTAACTTATTTTTCCCCCAGATGTGGACTTTCACCCTCTCCCTAAAAAGATCAAGAACAGATGCAAGAAAGTTTATGTGAAGAATGAATTTGAATTTGGAATTTGGAAGGCTTGCGTTGCTGTTGACTACCTTTTGATAAGCAAAATTTCAAAGCATTTAAAGACCACTGTATTCTAACTCAACAATACCTGATTTCCAGTTGCTCATTTCCTCAGATAAGAAGAAATCATCTCTACAATGTAGACAATGTTATATTTTATAGAATTTTATTTTAAAGTGAGGAAGCAGTTACATTGTGCTCTATATTTTGCAGATGGTGGTGATTCAAATTCCCATTATTGGCATTTTTTTTCTTTCTGTAACCTTAATAGATTTAATTTTTTTCCTCTTTGTGGAGGATGATGGGGCACTTGTAAGAGGAAAAATGATTGGGGGAAATTCAGTAACAACATCCTGTAGAAATGAGGACAATTTCATTTATCATCATCCATCCCGTAGTGGATAATGCATTTTGATGGCCTCTTTTTTTGGCTAAATAATAGTTAAGCCAATGCCCCAGACTGTCAGAAGTTGACTGTCTACCTGTGCATTGCCATTAAAAACCATGGGGAAAATATCGTGGGAACTTAGGATAGAAAGCATGTCTTATTAGCAGATGACCAATTACTGTTGAGCCTGTTGACTGAGAAGGTGGTGGGAAAACGTTTGCCGTATTTTCTTTTCATCTGAGTAATTGTCTTGTAGTTAGAAAAAAATGCATCTATGGATAACGAGTGTTTTGGTTATCAGTTTTTACTGACAAACCACCCCAAAACTTAGTGGCTTAGAGCAACAGCTTTTTTCCCTCACTGTTCTTCAGTCTGGCCTGGGCTCAGCTGAGCTGCTCCTCTGCTCGTCTTGCTGGTGTCACTCATGGGGTCGGCGGGCTGGCTGAGACCCTGGGGTGGCTGGGCCTCTCTGTCTGCACGTAGTCCTCCAGTCTCTCCTTCTCCGTGTTATCTTTCCAATGGCCTCGCCAGCAGGGTGGCTGGACCACTTACATGGCAGCTCAGAGCTCCCAAGGGTATAAAGCAATAGTGGCCAGGCCTTCTTAAGATTTAAACCCAGAACTGTCACAGCATTGCTCCTACTACCCTCTGTTGATTAAAGCAAGTCACAGGCCCAGCCCAGGTTCAGGAAGAGGGCGCTACATGAGGGCATGAAGTGGACGTGTGGTTCATGGGGGCCCCCAGTGTGACAGACTGTCAGAACCAGTGCCGGGGAAAACACCTACAGTTAGCAAAAGTAGAAGCTGCTAGTGACCTTGAGAAGCTGCTTCTGATAGCTGGTGTAAGCTGGAAGTCAGGCTGAGAAACAGGACCTTCAGGAGGCTTCCTGCACCGGTTCTGCCGGCTCTGAGCCTGTTTTCTGAACCATCATATGGGAAAATTGGTCTCGTAAGGATGGATGTGTTTATGGGGCAGAGCATCTGCAAGCAGGACCACCCCATCACCGTGGCACCCACAGAGGGAGGTGAACGTAATGCTTTCTTTGTGCTCCTGGTTTCGGTCAGGCCTCACACGCTGCCAATCAGGCTGTAGGAGACGGAGCAGGCCTCATGAGGCCGCTCAGCAGACGGGGTTAGCAGTAGCTCGTTTTGGTTTTAATCGAGCAGTAAGATTTGCTAACTTTCTACCTGAAGTGCCTTTTCCAGAGACATCCCTCTTTGCCCCGTGTTGATCATCATGCAGTGAGTGTGTTTCAATTAAACTATCACTGGTTGACTTTGTAAAGATAATAAAATGCTATGGCAGCTCTGCCATTAAGTCCTGGTCTCCTTACTGGGATTCTTCTTGCTTTTGCTCCTGAAAGGAAGAACGAGATCAGCCCTGGTGGGAGTTTCTTCCCGAGGTCTTTACCTCCTTTCAAACCCTGAGGTAATTTCATAGGCAAATGTACACTGATCCCCACCCCCCCATATCCATTGAACTTAGAGTTGCTTCTGAACACAGGTGTGGCCTGAAGGTAACTACCTTATTAGAGGAATGTAAAGACTACTGTCTTCCTGTCAAGCCTGTAAAGAAAGAGATTCCAGTTCAGTATTTGCAACAAGGCTCGTGAATCCTGTTCTTCTCTATTGCATCGTCATGTTGTATGGTCTCCGTTTTGCCTTGATTTCATGGTTTTGACCCTGGACGTTGGGGGCAAAGTCTTTCACCAGCACGCGAGGGTCTGATTGTACAGGTGTACCTGCTGCGTCATTGTCTCTGCCTGTAGCTTAAGATCAGCTGTTTCTGCACCTGGAACGGGAGCACCTGATCTAGGCTGGCTTTGTTTGTTACAGGATGTTGGTTTCCTTTAGATTTCCCTCCAAGAAGTCTGCAAACCATCTTGTTAGGTCAGCTTATGCCAAGACAGGGTTGTAATAGTCCCCAGGTTGCTAAGGTTTGTGGTGTGTTTGGTAAAGGGCGATTGCAGGTTCTCAGATGAGGTTACTCTACACGGGATGGAGTCAGGCAGAGGGGCTGTGAAGATGTGGGGAGCTCGAGGTGCCGGTTTAAAAAATGGTGGAAATGGAAGTTCCAAAGAGGTGGTTTCTGAGGAAGTCAAAGGGCCCAGGGCCAGAGCAGTAAGTAATAGTTGAATCAGGTTACCTAGAAAATAGGTCTGGTAGAGACATGTATGCAGTCTGCTTCTGGGTTGCTGGTAGACATTAAATTTGCACAATATCCCATAGCTGGCTGAGTATTTTAAAATTATAAGCATAGGATTTTATATTTGGGGTGAAGAACTTGTCTGGCACGTGGTATTGGGGTTTTATAAAAAAGCCAAATTTCAGAGTCTTAATAGCTTTTTTTAAAAAAATAAGACACCTCATATCCAGTGTGTGGCCCTCCTGAAAATTATGGTCATCTCTCCCATTGAAATCAATGACTTTTCAAATGTGGCTAAATGAGGATGAGAAAATACATGTACGACTTTCTTAGTGTTTGTGCATTCTTTACAGAGCACAATTGCTTTGGAAGAGCCAAGAAAATCATCAAGATTATTTTTAGGGGTTATCTTACTGGGGATTTTAAGAACTAATATAACGTCCTGGGTTATTTCTAGTTCTGGGGAATGTGGAAAAGTCTGCAATTGTGAAGTGTTTTGTTGTAGCTTATTAATCCATAAGGGAAACTTAGGCTGTAGACAGAAGTACAAACCCAGTACAGTTTTTGTTTTCTGTATGTTGTAGGGGGAATAAAGTTTTATATAGCAAGCACATGGCCTCCCTGATTTCAAGATGCCTTTATTAGGACTTGTACTCGCCCTTAATTTTGTTGAAATCTTTTTCCCTCTTCCTCTTGAAAAATAAGTTCCAAAATATAGTTTGTCGTATCTTCTTCCATCATTACAAAGTTTGTTCTTTTTCACAATGGGCAGTTCACACAAGGCAAAAATAGTAAACAGTTGGTTTTCGTGTGTTGTATAACTTTGCTGTATATCAAACTAATTTTTACAAGTTTTCATCCTAAACCTCAAATCATGTAATTAATAATTTGCCTGTTTATTTATGACCTAATTGTGATTCTTTTATTAATAAAAGCTAATGGAAAAGGATCCTTTATTAAGCTGATGACTAGACCTACATTTAATTTTCCTGCAGTATATGAAGTATTGTACCAGAGTATTAAAAGATATGTAATATTTTATTGATAAATCTATCCTTTAAAAGGAATACGTTTTAGGATGTCATCATTTTGATGTGAATCATGTAAATGTTGATAATATACACTGTTTATTATACATTTAGTGTTTCAAGAGATTCACTTAATTGCCTTTTTGCCCACGTATATTATGTAGTCTATTTGCAATTGTTTTAAAAAAATGACATTAAAAGGGTAGTTTATGTAGAGAAACATTAGTGGATGTTAATTGTCTCCCCACCTGTATTTATGGGTGTTAGTTCAACTGCTTTGCTAGTTGCAAAGCCGTATTATCAGAATAAAAGTGTATTTGTAAACTGTATGGGAACTAAAAATTAGGAATAAAACCGTTTTCTTATATTATGGTATTTGTCATTTGCTTCATCAGAAATGTCAAGGTAAAACTGGGATAATAGGTCACTCAACTTCTTATACTGGCAAAATGCTGACATTGAGCAGCTCTCATCTAGAAGGGAGTGTGGAATCCAGAAGAGATGAATCAGTTCCTCACGCATTTGTTGAGTGCCTACTCTGAATGGCTGTGGAAGACAGAAAGGGAATTCTGGAACTTACGAGTAAGTAACGAATAAAAAGTATATCTGTGTAAAATATACAGGAAATGATTAGAAAACATACAGAGCTGAATGTGAGTAGAACTGGGTGGGGATATGAAGTACAGATATGATAGAGGAGGTTTGTGGGAGGAGTAAATTATGTGCTACAGGATGTCAGCTCCTCCCTTTCAAGTAGCTTCAGGCCACATACAAACAAGGCCTTGCCTCTTCTGACAACACTGCATTAACATTGGCAGAAAGCAATCATTTTATAAATAGCAAAACATGTAGTTATTCTCTATTGTAAATCTGAGGAGTGATTACTATTACTTATTTACACTGTGAAGTACTGTTGTCCTCCTCTCAGTCTTAACTGTTACATAATGCCTCTGATCAGATTCAGCTGGTTTAATTGGTTAGCCCAGTCATCTGTCCATTCAGAAACTATGGAGTGCCTCTGCAATGCCAGCGCACTGCACCTGTTCTCGACACCACGGCTAAGCGGTAACTGAAACAGGCCTAGTGGCCGTCTTCATGGCAGTGACGTTCTAAGGGGGGAGCTAGGCCTTGTACGAGTCAGAAGGCAGTTAATTATACTTGGGGTGAGCACTACTGGAGAGGCAGGGTGCCAAGACAAAGTAGGAGAGACAGAAATTAGACAACCACTTCCAAACACAATGAGAGTTATGCAGAGGGGCTAAGGGTGTCTGCCACAGGGGAACGCAACTTTCTGCAGATGGAGGACCCCTAGTGGGTTTTCATGTCATGGTACTACTGTGGGTTTACCCTGTGGGGTTTCAGAAGAGGTGCTGTGTGCACTGTTGGCCGGAGACGCCTCATTCCCCATAATCCTTCCTGAGATCCTGGGTTGTACGTTTGAGGGCAGTGGCGATATGTTGTCAAAGACAACAATATGTTGTCTTTGACATGCCATGAAAGAACCTTCTAGTTCTATACTTCCTGATCCTAAGAAAAATAAGAAAACGTATAGATTAAAGACAAAGCAGGAATCCCCATAACAAATCAACTGTGGGCAGAGCGCAAAGGGTTTATTCAACTTGGTCGTCTTGTAAATGAGAAGCTTCCGAAGAAAGCGCCTACTTATCATTGGATCCCATTACATGTATGATTCGCAACCACCTGTTCGCTTTGACTCTGAGGGGCAGTGAAAAGGGAACTGCAACCTCAAGTGAATGGTTTTATTGCAGGTGGTGTTTCTGCCCCCTGGGAAGTAGCTAAGCTTCCAAACACTGAATTTGCAAAATGGTAATGAGCCAGAACTAGAGATGTGCAATATCAATAGCCACTGATAAATATGCCCCTTGAGGTCAGACGATTTAAATCCCCAAATACCATCATGATATAAAAGATAGCTACTAAAGTATGAGCTATAAGAGAGCAGTACCATACTGCAAAACCTGTGGGCAGTTTATGGACAGGAATTGCCTGTGCTGCTTAGACTTGGAGTTGTCTCTGCCTGGTAAGACCGTAGTTATGCTGGACTGCAAAGCATTTGTTTGGGGTTC